CAAATGGCCAATTATAAGATTGATTTATCGGTATTATAAATGGCTGTCGAATAAATCAATCTTATGATTGGCCATTCGACGCCATTTTTAATATTTTCTAGTACTTTTGCAATACTGCCATAAGCCGGTCGCGCTTCTCTGATAATCTAGGACTCTAGGATCCCCTTAAAAAGGTTCTATTTTGAATATCATAATGAAAACATGTCGGTAACAAAACATATGTTATATGATTTCCATTCGTTGTTGCATATATGTCTTCAAGCTATAATATTTTTTAAGAGAATTCTAAACCCTAGATCAAATTCCAAAAATCCGCTGTTTTACCGACAATTTGTGAGTATGTATGCGTGCGATATTGATGTAGTAGTGTGTAGTGATGTGTCATGTTTATTACCACATCAATATATCTTACGCATACATATACACGAATTTGTAGGATCCAAATGTACTTTTATTTAGACTTCTAAATTTGATTTTAACGACTCACCTATATTTATTTCTTTATTGTACAATCTGGCTCTACCTTCATTTCGAGCATATAACCTGCCAAACTTTTTCACGAAGTAAACATTTTGGTAAATTGATAGTATTAGTCGCCATGTTGAGGTTAAAATGAATAACGAAATCTGTATAATTTCTTAATTTTTTCCTGTTTTTGGTACAAAACACACCAGAGCCAGATGCATTAGCATGTGTGTTTTAATCGTGGAAAAGGACATTTTATTCTATGCGATTAATACGAAGTATTTTGTATCCAACAAAAATGGTATTTTTGTCGATAAAACAGACGGCTTTAGCATCCTTTTAATTGTAGCTCGTTGCTAACAAAATGCTGCCAATAAAAAATGTCACATATAAGTTGTCACGTTTACAACAACTTTTCGGTAAAAAGATATAGTATTTAGATTTAAAGTATATATGAATACTTACAAAACTACCGCTAGATAGCGTTTGTTGGTATCTGTTTCTCGCATTTAAAATTTGATCAAGTTCTCTATATAACCATTATCAAATCGAAGTTCGGACATGTTATAATTATTTGTGCACTCTTCATAATTATATGTGCAATTAGTACGAGATATGAATAATATATGTTTTGGAGCAAAGAAGTTTGATATTGTTAAAAAACGGATTTTAAGATATCTTTAACACACCTGAAAAATATTTTCAAGACATCTAAAAGATATTGTCTAAAAATCTTTAAAATATAATCTCGTATTTAGATACCTAAAAGATATCTTCGAAATATCATTACGACATCTTTTAGATTCTGTAAAATATCTTTAAGACATCGTCAGATATCTGAAAGATATCTTAAACTGTTGCATAAGACAGGTTAGGGATTTAAAAGATGTCTTTCCGTAAAAAATACAAGATATCTCAAGATATTGCAAGAGATCGTTTCGAAGTCTAAAAGACATCTCTTTGTTTATATATGGACGACTGTCATTTAATAAATCCCGTTCGACGCACTGTGCCTGTAGCAGGTAGCTTTTTCTTAGCTTCCTTTTCAAAGTATAGTGGATCCGTTGGTTAACTTTGAAACTAACACTGAAACCGTCAAGGGGCTGTATTACCAGTACTGGCCGTATTACCCTCAGATACCTTATTCAATCAATGTAGTCCAAAATGATCGATCTAAACCAAAGAGATTATATACATAGAGTAGAAGAGGCATAGCGGCCTCTTTGAGTGGAAACGTGAGCTGATAGAAAGAGAAAGAAAA